AGCTGCCCGGAGTCGGCCGACACGTGCGCCCTGTGCGAGCGGGGGTTCCTCCTGGCCGGCGGCGCATGCGGGACCGAGTGCCCGGCCGGCGCCGCACCCCAGGGCGGCCTGTGCGCCAGCTGCCACGGCTCGTGTCTGACCTGCTACGGGCCCGGGCCGGGCCACTGTCTGACCTGCGGCGCGGCCTTCCCGCTGATGGTGGAGGGCCACTGCCGGGACGCCTGCCCGGCGGGCACCTTCGAAAGCGAGGGGACATGCCTGCCCTGCCACGGGACGTGTGCCACCTGCACCGGGCCCTCGGGGGCCGAGTGCAGCGCGTGCCCGCCCGACCGGGTGCTTACCCCGGCCGGCGAGTGCCTGGCGGCCTGCCCGCCGGGCGAGTATGCCACCGCCGCCGGCCCGGCCGCCGGGCTGACGTGCGCCCGGTGCCACGCCACCTGCCACACGTGCCAGGGCCCGGATGCCTGCGGCACCTGCCGGCCCGGGGAGTGGCTGCACCCGGATGGCCACTGCACCGGGGCCTGCCCGGCGGGGCACTTCCCCGGGGCCGGCACCGGGCGCTGCGAGGCCTGCCCGGCCGGGTGCGCGGCCTGCATCGGGCCCGGCGGGCCCGCCGGCGCCGGCCACTGCACCGGCTGCCAGGCCGGCCTGCTGCTGTCGGCCCGGGAGGGCACCTGCCTGGAGGCCTGCCCGCCGGGGGAGTTCGCCCTGGCCGGGTCGCCCCTCTGCCAGCCCTGCCAGGGCGACTGCCGGACATGCGCCGGCCAGGCAACCCGGTGCACCGGCTGCGCCCGGGGGCTGCTCCTGCCGGAGGCCGGCACCTGCGTGGCCGCCTGCCCGGAGGGCACCGGCCCGGCCCCGGCCCCGGTGCCCATGTGCCTCGGCTGCCCGGCCGGCTGCGACCGGTGCACCGACAGCCGGGCCGACTGCGCCACCGGCCCGGACGGCCGGCTGGCCTGCGCGCAGGCCGCCACCTGCGCCCGGTGCCGCGAGCCCCTGCTCCTGGACCGGGGGGGAGCCTGCGTGGCCGACTGCCCGGCCGGCACCTTCCACGACTGGGAGGCCTCGCCGGCGGCGTGCTCCGCCTGCGACCCGCGGTGCGGCACATGCTCCGGGCCCGGGCCCGACAGCTGCACCGACCGGCGCCCCGCCTCGCGACGCCTCGGTACGCCGCCCCGCCACACCCTCGCCCCCGGCGCCCCCCGGCCGCTGGACACCGGACACTGACCACTTGGCTGGGGGTGGGGGCCTTTCCCGTCCCGCCTCCGCCGGCACCGCCCCCCCCCCCCCCCCCCTCTGTCGACCTCAGCGCTCGGCGTCGGCCTCGGCCTGGGGCTGCTGATGCTGCTGCTGGTGCTCCTCGCCCTGCTGCTGCTGTTCCTGCGCGTGCGCCGGGCCCGCGCCCTCGGGCCCAAGGGCGGAAGTGTACGTCGGCCCTCGGGCGCCTGTGCCACCTGCCCCCGCTGCGTGCTGCCCCCTCGCCGGATCGGTGCCCTGACATCTCCCCCGACCCCCCCCCCCCCCCCGCAGCCCGGGCGCCTGCTCATCCAACGCCCGGACGAAGGTGCGCCCCATGCCCCGGACCCACGCTCCGGCTGCCTCCCCCGCACACACGCACACACACACACACACACACATACATACATACACACACATGCACAGCCGGCCCGGCGATGGCGCCTGGGTGGCCCAGGCCGGGGACCCCCCCTTCCCGTTCCTCACCAACACCCGCCCGCCCGTCCCCGCCGCGCTGGCCGCGACGGCTCCCGCCCGGCCCGACCCACCGCAGATGCCACCATGGTCAACACCATGGTGGAGCTCGCCCTCCCCGGGACCATCCTCATCAACATGCAGCAGGACTTCGCCCGGCTGGATGAGGACCAGCTCGGGGCCGGGACCCAGGCCACGGTGTTCGCCGCGCGCCCGGTCGGCCCGGGCACCGCCGAGGCCCTCGGCTGCCCGGACACCGTGGCCATCAAGCAGCTGAAGAGCCCCAAGCTCCGGCCCTCGCAGGAGACCCTCTTCCAGAATGAGGTGGCCCTGATGTGGCTGCTGCGCGGCGCGCCCAGCGTCGTCCGGCTGTACGGCTACAGCGACCAGCCGCCGGCCCTGGTGATGGAGCGCTTCGACAGCGACCTGGCCGCGCTGCTGCACTCGGACGCGGCCATCGCCCCGGCCGCCATGCTGGACATCATCCACCAGTGGGCCGCCGGGCTGGAGGCCATGCACGCCCAGGGGGTGGCCCACCGGGACCTGAAGCCGGGCAATGTCTTTGTCAGCCGGCGCCCGGACGGGGCATGGTCGGCGGCCCTCGGGGACCTGGGCGCCGCGCGAAACCTCCACGCCGACCGGTCCTCGGCCCTGGTCAACGACACGCCGGACCTGAATGCCATGACGGCGCGGTACGCCGCGCCCGAGGTCCTGGCCGCCTTCCACCGGCGCCGGGCCCTCGACACGGAGCTCCTCCTCCCGGCGGACATCTACTCCGCGGCCATCATGCTGTGGGAGTGCCTCTCCCGCGTTGTCCCCTGGCGCGGGTGCAACTTCGAGCAGATCTCCGCCAAGGTCCTGACCGGCGACCGCCCCCCGGTCGGCCGGTGTCTCTCGGCCGGCGGCCATGCCCTCGGCGACCTCCTCCACGACATGTGGGACTCCAACCCCCACGTCCGGCCGCTGGCCGCGGCGCTCCGCCACACCGTCGGCCAGGCCCTCCCCCCGGCCACCGGGGGGCCGTGAGATGGCCCGGCGCTCTCTCCGGCCGGCCGGGGGGGGGGGGGGGGGGGCCCCCCCCCCTCCGGCCCGGGGGGGAGGGGGGGGGGGGGGGGGGGGGGGGGGGGGGAGGGAGAGGGGGGGGGGGGGGGGGGGGGGGGGGGGGGGAGAAGGAAGACCGGGCAGGAGGGAGGTAAGGAAAACCGCGCGGGGGCGGCAGAAAAATGCGGGTATTTTTCCTGCCCGCGGCTCGGTCACACAGCCCGGGTACCCCGAGGCTCCCGGCGGGATGAAGAATCGGCTGTTCTTTCCCGGCGCGCCTGGCCCAGCCGGTGCCCCCCCCCCGGATGCACGCCGCCCCCCGCCGGGGGGGGGGGGGGGGGGGGGGGGGGTCCTGCCCTCATATCGTGCCCCTGGGAGGAGAGGCCGGCCATGCCCGGGGGGGCGGATGGGCGGGCGGAAGAAAAAAATAATAGAAGCACACCAAAAATACACAACGCACCGACAGAGCACGAGAGGCAACCCCGCCAACCGGCCGCCCTGCTCCGGGGCCTTGCCATTGGCGGCGGCCCGCGCGGCCGCTGGCCGGCCGGGGCCAAGGGGTGGGGCCATGTGCCTGGCCCCCCTCAAGCCCCGGAGTCCCGACCCCCGGCCATAATAGCCCCCTTCCGGCAAGCGTGGGCCCGGGGCTCGGGGGGGGGGCGGGGGGGGGGCGCATTTGGCAGTTGGCAGCCGGCCGCATTCGGCGGCACCTCGCCCCGGGCCCGTCCCCCATTTCCCGGCTTTCCCTCCGGGGGTTCTGACCCCTCGCCCCCGGGCGGCCGGCCCCGGTTGCCGGGGACCTCCGCATGCTGCCCCAGGGGCAGGCATTCGCCAGATCTGGAACGCCGAGCCCAATACCGGCGTGCGCGCGCACGGCCGCCGACGGGGGAGACGCGTCCGGGGCGGGCTGCCTGGCAAGTGCGGAGGGTGAGCCGCGAAGCGCCGACAGCGGGGCAGCGTGTGAATACGCGTGTGGTCCCCCTGTGCTCTCGCCGCGCCATCACTAGCCGGATCCCGGACACGCGGCAGGAGGGGGACCGGCGTCGGATGCCATGCTCCCCGCGCTAAGGGCCGGCACACAACTATATGACGGCGCCTCTCGCGGCATTCGCCGCAGCCACTTGCCTCGCAACTCTCCCCGCCCCCGCATTTCCCCCCTCCTGATCCGCGGCCGCTCCCCTCCCCCGGCTCCTCGGCCTCGCGCTATCCTGTGGCTCTCGAGCATGCTTCGGCCACGCCGGCGGCCGGCCGGCCCCCTCCGGGCGGCCCTGCGACTGCTGCTGGGCCTGGGCGCCCTGCTGGCCTGCGGGCTGGCCTCCACGCCGGTGGGGCTCCTCCGGTCGGCCGGGCCCCTGCACTTTGCCCTGCCCCCCGGCGCCGCGGGCACCCTCGGTGCCTTCCACAGCGGCCAGCCCAGCCAGCTGGTGGTCAGCCCACCCGACCAGCCGGCCACCCTCCACCGGCAGACCGCCATCCTCACCACGTACCAGGACATCCGACTGGGCAGTCTCTTCGGCCGGGCGCCCTCAGACCCGCTGCCCGGGCCGCCCGGCGGCGACACGGCCCCCGATGTCCAACTGATCATCTCGCCCAGCCCCAACGGGCCGTGCCTCTTCAGCCTGTCCAGTGCCAATGCCGGCTTCTTCCGTGCCGGCCAGTGGCTCCTGAACCCCATCGCCGCGGGTGCCGTGGCCCTGGCACACACGGCATTCGAAAGCAACACCGCCTTCCTCCTGCTCCATTGGCCGGACTCCAACCAGCTGAAGCTTGCCACCTTCCCAAACACCGGCATGGCCAAGGTCATCGATCTTGGCACGGCGATGGCCGGCCCAGCACCGCTGGCCGCCGCGGCCGGCACCCCGCTGGCCTTCCTCACAGCCCGGGGCACCCAGGTGAAAGTCTTCTTCCCGACAGCCAATGGCCAGGGGATGGCCAACTCCTTTGCCACTAATCTGCCAGCCCCGGTGGTCGGCTCGCCGATCATCACTCGCTTGCGTCCCGGTGACCCGGCCCTTGCGCTGTTTCTGCTCAATTCAGGCCAGGTGGCGTCCTATGCGATTGACTACAACAATCTGTCCTCTCATGGCGACATTTACGTCCCGGACGGAGCTGCCGCCGATGCCCGGCTCTTCGGCGCCAGCTGCCTCGAGCTCGGCCCCAATGACGGGGGTCCCCTGTTTCTGGCCAATCCCGGCCCCGATGGTCGGCTGTGGCGGCTGAATGTCGACACCGGTGGCCACCTCGCCGGCTGGACGGAGCTCCGGCTGCCGGCCGGCACCCTTGCCGGTGCCCTGCGCCCGGTGCTCCTGAACACGGCCACCGGCCCGATGTGGACCCTGGCCGACTCGCATGCATACCTCCAGGCCGATGTGTTCGGCTGCTCCACCACCGACCCGACCATCTCCTGCTCGGCCACCGAGTACACCTGCGCCAGTGGCAGCGTCCCCTCCGGACTGCTGATGGATGGGCGCCTGTGTGCTGGCTGCGAGGATGGCACCACCGCCTCGAGCCCCTGGTCCGCTGCCGGTACGCCTCTCCTCGTCGGCCTGCCCGCCGTGTGGGAGCCCTTCCCCTCAACTAACCCCCCCCCCCCCCCGGCGGCGGCGGCGGGGCTCCTTTCCATGTCCGGAGCCAGCACCCTGCACGGCCTGCATGCAGGCCGGCTGCCTCGTTTGCCACGACGCCAGCTGCCTCCATTGCCCGGCCGGCACCCTGCCCCAAACCGACATGCAATCCGGCGACACCGTCTGCGTGAGCTCCTGCGCAGCTGGCTACCACGCGGCCGGCGGCCGCTGCCTGCCGGTGATGCCACGCCGCCCGCGCGGGCTGACGCACCCGGAGCCGAGATTCCAGGGGCCCGGCGGCTCGGGCGCCCCTCCGATGTCGGGGGCCCGGCTTTTGGCCCCGACGTGCCTGGCCACCGCCAATGGCCAGCTGTCGCTCCTGCTCGACCCCCCGAGCGGCCGGGCTTCCGATACGCGCCTGCTTCTCTTTCACTCGGATCCCCAGCACAAGCCGGCCATCCTCCACGCGAATGTCTTCAGCGGGCCCCCGGCCGCCGGGCCGCTGTTCGATGTGCACCCGCTTGACCTCTGGCCAGCCGATGCGCCCACCTTCACGCACTTTCTGAATTTGCTCCCGGTCGAGCAGACGTCCGGTGCCCCGGCCGCGGCCCTGCTCGGCTGCCATGGCCACACCCTGCACTGGGGCAAGGTGATGTGCAATGGGCCGGCTTCCCTGGCGGGGTCTTGCGCCGCATACTTCGGCACCTTCACCGACACCGAGGCCCCTTGCTACGGCCTCCGCGCGTTGGCTCCGAATTTGGCGGCCGTCCTGGGCGCGCGCAGCGGCCTGCGCCTGGCCATGCTCCACCCCTCGGGCGGCATTCGCATGCAGAGCCTGCCGGGCTACATCCAGCCCCCGGCGGTGCTGCCGCTGTTGTCCCACTCGAGCGCGGTGTCCGATTGGCTGCTGGCCGTGGGCCCCCAGCAGTCGGGCTTCCTGCCCCTGAATATGGCCCTGGTGCAGGACCCGCGGCTGGAAGCAGCGCCCCCGGCCCTGCGCCACATGGTGCCGGACGGCTGGGTCCCGGTGGCCCTGCCGCACAAAACGCGCAGCCTGGCGGAGGTCTTCTTGACGGGCCTTCACCATGATTCCCCGCCCGGCGGTGAGACTCCCCCCGCATGGGTCGTGGAGCATGTCCCCCTGTCTGGCGGCGAGGCGCAATGGACCGTCGCCGGGCTCTCCACCCAGGAACAGGTGCTCGGCCGGCTGCCGGTCGACCCCGGGCCGGATGTCCATTTCCGGGTCCTCTCCACGCCGGGCGATGTGAATGTCCCAAGCGCCCTGCTGCTGCTGTCCCCGCGGGTGGTGGGCTTTGCCCAACTCCAGTGCCTGCAGTTGGGCGGCTGCTGGCTTCGGGACGCTTGGTTCCAGGTCCTCTCGGCGGACCTGGCCTTCGATCCGGCACTGGCCCTGCCGCTGCCCCAGAATGCCAGCCCCTCCACCCGCGTCGACATGCTGGTCATCCGGCCCGGCATCGGCCTGGCGACCCTGGCCCTTGAGGAACAGTGCGGCAGTGACTTCTCCGACCCGAACCCCTGCGTACCCTGCCATCCGCGCTGCGCCACCTGCTCCGGAAGCAGCCCCTCCCAATGTATCAGCTGCTCTCTGGCAGCATGGCGCGAGCCGTTCGACTGCCTGGACTACTGCCCGGAGGGGCTCGTCCACCAGGGAAACCAGTGCGTCTGCCATGACACCTGCTCCGAGTGCCAAAAGGTCCCCTCGACCGAGCGGTACCAATGCCAGGCGTGCCAGGCCGGCTGGGCCCTGGAGCCGGGGGCTCACCCCGTCCGGTGTCTCCAATGCCATGACTCCTGCTCCATGTGCACCGCCGGGGAGGACCCGGCCGCCTGCACCGCCTGCCACCAGGGCCACTACCTGCAGGGTTCCCAGTGCCTGGACAGCTGCCCGGTCGGCCTCTGGCCAGACAACCTGCTGAATCGGTGCCAGCCCTGCCCGGAGGTGTGTCTCTCCTGCACGAGCACCACGCACTGCACCCTTTGCCGGCCGGGGTTCATCCCGGCCGGGGGCCAATGCAGGCTGTGCCACAGCAGCTGCCTCTCCTGCACCGACGAGGTCAGCTGCTCCGCCTGCCGGCCGGGGCTGGTCTTCCTGGACCCGGACCCGGGCATGCCGTCGCTCTGCGGCAGCACCTGCCCGCCGGGGGAGTTCCCCGGGCCCGAGCGGTGCACCCGGTGCGACCGCTCGTGCGACCTGTGCGCCGGCGGGGCCGCCCGCTGCCTGGTGTGCGCCGAGGGCTTCCGGTGGGACATCGCCGCCCCGGGCCCCGGCAAGACGGGCGCCTGCGTGCCCTGCCCGGCCGGCTGCGCCTCCTGCATCGGCACCGGCCCCGGCACCAGCCGGTGTCTGTCCTGCGGGGCCGAGCACTTCCTCACCCAAGATGGCACGTGTGCCGGGTCCTGCCCGGCGGCCACCTTCGGCGAGACCACCCAGTGGACCTGCCAGCCGTGCGATGTGTCCTGTGGCGCCTGCCTCGGGGGCGGGGCCGACCAGTGCACCGGCTGTGCCGCCGGGCTGGAGCTGGTGGAGGTCACCTCCGGCGCCGGGACCTGCGTGTCCGGCTGCCCGGAGGGCCAGTACCGCGCGGGCACCGACTGCCTGCCCTGCGACGCGGCCTGCGCCACGTGCAACGGCCCCACGGACAAGGACTGCTGGCGGTGCGCCTCCGGCGTCCTGCAGGACGGCGACTGCGTGCAGGCCTGCGCCGCCCAGCATGTGGCCGTGGCCGACCGGTGCCTGCCCTGCCACCCCTCGTGCGGAAGCTGCACCGGGGTCCGGAGCACCGAGTGCACCGCCTGCCCGGGGGGCCTGCTGGCCCTGCCGGCCGGGCAGACCCCGGGCCGGTGCGTGCCCGGGTGCCCGG